CTAGGGTACAGTGATGACAATGGGGCTTCCAGACATGGTGTTCTCAGCTTGGACCTCCATGATTTAAAGATGGTCTCTGCCATAGTTTGAGTATTGTGTGTCCCCTCTCAAACTCATGATGAAATGGGTTTGCCATGGTGGCAGTGTTAGGAGGTGGAGCCTTAAGAAGTGATGAGGTCATTAAGAGGGATTAATGCCTTTCTAGAGGGAGTGAATTCTCTTTTTCATGGGACTGGATTAGTTACCACGAGCATGGGTTGTTGTGAAGTGAGACTGCCTCTCCTGCTTTGTCTTTTGCATGTGTCCACTTGTCCTTCCAATTTCTGCCGTGTTATGAAGCAGCATGTGATCTTCGCCAAATGCAGCTGCTCAGACTTGGACTTTCCAGCCTTTGGAACCATGAGTTTAGATAAATTTCTGACCATTATAAATTACCTTGTCTCAGGTACTCTGTTATAGCAACAGAAAACAGACTGACAGGTTGTCTTGGCAGGGCACTGTTGACACACCTTCTCACTCTTTCTGGGAACTAGAGCAGGAGAGCAAGAATGTGGTAGACGTGTTGGTGACTGTGGTTGATGGATGGGTAGAGGCTGACCCTGAAATATTTTAAAGGAGTCCATGTTTGGGCAGCAATGACTTGGATACAGATTGGCCACCAGATGAAAGTACACATGCTGTAATTCCAGGCTGGCAAGTCAGATGTCATATGAATGACAGTAGTCTCTAGAATGAGTTCACAAGCACTGGATACAGGAAAAAAGGAGATGGGATGAGAAAATCTGGCAGGGCCTTCCCAGTCCTGTACAATCCACTGCTGATTTGACTCAAGTCATTCCCTGTGCTTTCTCTATGATGAATGCTTTCAGCAAGTTGGGGAATCATGAATGGCCCTTCTTGCTTCCCCATTTCTTTTCTTTTTTTTTTTAATTTTTATTTTATTCATATATGCATACAATGTTTGGGTCATTTCTCCCCCCTTCCCCCCCACTTAACCCCCCCGCCCCCTCCCTCTTCCCTCCTATCCCCTCGCTACCCGGCAGAAACTATTTTGCCCTTATCTCTAATTTTGTTGAAGAGGGAGTATATTGCTTTCCCATTTCTTATTTCCTTTTCCTTTGTAGATCATGACTTTCATCATACAATTCACTTGTGCTCATGCATCTTAGAAAAACTGCTGCTTGTAGACTTAGGCTTAATATTACTAAACCACAGGGAAGCTGTACTGAGCCTAAGTGCAGTGATTTCCCTCAGTCTTTGCATTTTATACTAAACATAGTTATGCTGAAATAAAATGCACATCATGTCAAGAACCCATCTTTCTTTTACCTCTATATCATTCACTTCTGCACTCACTTCTATGTCCACATCAAATGTTTCTTCAGTTCAATCTGTGACAATGGCTGTGAACAATACAGAGTCTGCCCTCTACCAGTGTGTAGTATGGGCTTCATATAAAATATGTTGACAGCACTTATTGAATGTGTGAGCAAGTTCTTCTGTTACACTGAACATACGAGACTGTTAACGTCATCTTAAGTATAAAATCTAAGAGTAGGCACTAATGTGTGGTGGAATGCCTCTGGGATAACTATAATCTTCAAAGTACAACTGAATTTCAAAAACTCTTGTACTTAGTACATTTACCCAGCAGGTGCTCTACCACTTGAGTCTTGCCCCGGTCCTTCCTTAATTCTTAATTATTAACTTTCTTAGGATGAGATTGTGGGTAATACAATGCTGTTCCTATGCACTTAGGGTATCTGTTCCATGGATTGCATGAATGTAGCTGGATATAGTTGAAATTGTATTCTGTGTGGTCACATGTGCCCATTTGCAGATAGGCCCAAAACCCAGATAAACCCTAATTAATTTTAGAACTCTTTGGGGTATGTAAAACCAATTGAAACAGTTGACTATAAAACAGAAGTACAAGGAAGATAAGAGACATATTTTTAAAGCCACAAATGTATAGAATTTAAGAAAGTAAACACATTATAAAATATGTATGTAACACTTGACCTTGACTTTGATAATTTTGATTCTCGTTGGTACTGGGTTTGCTTTTAAACTTACCTCAGTCCAGAAGCAATTTGGTCAAGCTGAACATTTTACTGATATGAAGGTGGCCTGGCCTCAATCCAGTTTTATGGTTAGATATTAGTTGAGGAGTATTTATCACTGAAAGTAGATCCATTATTTGTCATGAAATTTCATAAAATTGATTCAAGACTCCAAAGAATCTGGTATTTAAAATACAGAGGTTTTCATCAATTATTAATGTAAAGTGAATCACTCTAGATAAACTAGATGTATTTAAGGAAAACTATAAGGTTATCTTATATCATTAGTCCTATGGATCATAATTTTAGGGAGCTGTTCAAATCTTTATTAGCTATTGAATAGCAAAAGGAACTGACATATGTAAAATGGTACCCATGATACTCTGATGTCACCTGTCTATGAAATCATGCCTCCCCATTAGGATCATTGACACTTTCTGGTCTTTACTGTTTAATGTCTTAAACACAGTTAGTGGAGAACTTCTCTCATTCTAACCTCTAGACTGTCTTCCTTTACAATTGTATAATATTCCCACATGGAGGGTGAATCCAATTCTCTGTGAATTGCATGTAGGCCTGGAGTCATGAGCCCTGGATTTTGGTTCCAGCTCTGGCTCAGTAACCAAATATTTGCATCATCTTTCCAGTAACTTCCAGGAATTTCTCTGAGACTTAGGCCCCCCTCCTCCTCTCCCATTGTCATTTGCTATCTTGTTCTGGACTGTATCTTTTGCATATATTATGGTAACTGATTCTACTCCCACGTGACAGCTTGTACTGAGCATTTACTGTATTATGTTATTTAATTCTCATGGTTTATGAGATCTATCTCATCAACTTCATTTCTCAGTTGGTAAAACACACTGGACAGAGAGTGCAGTTCATGTCTAAGGCACTAGGAAATGTTAAGTTAGTGGACTAAAGTATAGCTCAAGTGGTAAAGCACTGGTCTATAAAGTGCAAAATCCTCAGTTCAGACCCCAGGACTGCAAAAACAAAACAAAACACCCCTGCCAACCAAAAGATACCTTGAAATGATGGTCTTTAGCTATTATTGAAACTTGACTGTTAGTCAGAATTTGCTTTTGAGGAAGCCCACTTTAAAACATACACCCCCCACAGAAACACCACCAGCAGTTATTCATAATTGTTGTTGTGGACCCATGTAGTAATAGAAGGAAGAAGAGCTCAGCCACAGTTGTCATAGTAGTCACAAATTTAGTTATCCAGTAGAAATGCTGAATGCTGTATCCACACTGGGGTATGATGAAGCTTTCCTGGGGCTGTGGAGAAGCAAACCTGGACTATTTCTGAGTCTGCCTCCAGCTTCCTCAGTGGCCTTGACAAAGTGACTTTGTTCCTTATCCTGGAGGAAGATGGATGGCAAGTAGCATCTACTTGTTGAACTGATTTCTAGGACAGGTGATAAGTGTGTGGGTTAAGGGCTGAGACAAAAAGTGCAATGCTCATATGACAACTCTCCTTAAGGAGCAGAGTGGGGTACTGGAAAGTGCAGGGGTTCTGGAAGGCAGACGAACCTCTTTGTCTTGCTTCCTTATTTTAAAACAGGAGGTGAAGTGGGATGGATGGATTGATCACCAGTTCTAAATGCTACTGGAGCTTTATCGCTTCCACACACCCTAAAAACAACTGGCAAAAATAAACTTGCTATCTAGTTTGGGACAAACTTGGGTCAGCAACGACTCTTTGCTGACATTGGCCATTCTTTAAAAGGCAGAAATTGAGCTTCAGTTACTTTTCTTGATTTGATCCCCTTTCTTTTTAAGCGTCTCATATTCTGGATGTAACTAACTCCTTATGTGGATGTGGGGGTTAAGACGCTGTGTTAAGCGCCAGCACATCATGGGGCTTCCTTTGCACAGCTTTCCCTCCGGGCACTCGGAGTTCATTTTTCATAGATTTGTGTAAGGGCTGCTAATGTTGCAGAATTTTCAAGAAATAAATGCATGTCAATTGCTGATGTTTAAGTTCTACATATTTAAGCGGGTGGGGTACCAAGGGGTCAACAGGAAACTTCAAGGTAAATAGTGGCCTCCGGAGAAAGGTCTGAGCGTCAAAGCTTCATCCACCTCTGCTAGAGCAGACGAGTTATTTTTGCTTTTAACGCAGCAACAGCCCCTACCAGCCAAGTGCGAAACCCCGGCCAAGCTGCGGGTCCCTCTTCTGGGAGGAGACCTGGACTGCCACACCGCGGTCCAGCCAACCCTTTTCCTCTCGGGGATGACTTGGTGGCTGCTGGGCTCCATAGGTGTGAGTTTGCCCTGCTGAGCTTAAACTGCTTTCTCCAGAGGCGAGTGCACTGGAAACCCTCCAGTTCGAGGAAGGGGATTAACAGTGACAAAGAAAGTGGGGGGGGGGTCTCCGTAGAGATCTCTGGGGGCGTCCCAAGGAGGGCTCATTGGGGCGATCGCAACTCCGCGTCGCGTTGGACTGGGGGAGGGGGATGTGGGGGTCGCAGTGCTGAAGCGGAGGGGAGGAGCGGGCTGGGAGGGGACACCTCAGTCTCTCTTCTCTGCGGCGGCCGGGGTGGGGGGAGAAGGGCTGGCAGCTGTGATCTGCCGCGCGCTGGGGCGACGGTCCCGGGAGGGAGGCGGCGGGGGTGACCGTGCGTCCCGCCCCGCCCCGCCGGCGCGGGGAGCGGCCGCGCCTCCCCCTGCCGCATGTGCGCGGTGTTGTGTGCCCGGCCCTGCTCCTCCTCCTCCCTCCTCTCCCCTCCCCTCCCCTCCCCTCCCCTCGCCTCCCCGCGCCGCCGTCCCCTCCCCCGCGGCCCCGAGTGAGCGCGAGCGCCACACAGCCCCGGGCCGCCGCCGCCGAGCGCGCCGAGACGCCGAACAGGTGGCCGGAGGCTGCGGGCGCCGCGGCAGGGAGAGGCGAGGCGAGCCGAGCCCCGGGCGAGCGAGGGCGGCCGGGCCGGGCATGGTAGCCGAGCGGCCCCTGGCGCCGCCGCCTGCCCGCGCCCCTAGCCGCCCGCGCGGGTGCAGAGGTCCCACCGCGCCCAGAGTCCAGGCGCCCCGGCCCGGGGCCACTGCGGCCGCGGTCAGCGAGGGGCGAGGGCCGGCCCGCGGCGGCGGCATGAAAGTGACCGTGTGCTTCGGGAGGACCCGGGTGGTCGTGCCCTGTGGAGACGGCCATATGAAAGTTTTCAGCCTCATCCAGCAAGCGGTGACCCGCTACCGGAAGGCCATCGCTAAGGTAGGGGCCTGGGGCGCCCGGAGCGCCGGGGGGCGGGGGACGTGGGGAGGAGGAGGAGGAGGAGGGGGAAGGCGCCGGGATCAATATGGCGCTTCCTGGAAACGGGAGGAGGGAGACCGAGGAGGCGGGGAAAGGGAAAGTGCGGCGGCCCGGCCGGGCCTCGCTGGCGCCCCCCGCCCGGGGTTGCGGGCCACAAAGTTCTCCGTGCGGGCTGGGCCCTGCCGGGCAGGCGGGGTGACCGTGCCGAGCCCCGCTTTGTGACCCGCGGTTCCCCGAACGTCGCCCCCGTCCCTTGGGGCTCCCGCTGCGGGACCGCTGGGCGAGGAGGGCAGCGCGGCGGGGGCCGTTTTCTCTCGCGTCCCTGACCTGTGGGGGGCGAAGCCCGAGTCCCACGCGCTAGGGGCGCAGTAGAAGCCTGGCGGGATGCCGCCGCCCCGGCCGCGGGCTCTTGAAATACAGCCTCAGGCCTCTCTCAGCTCCAGGCCCCTCGGGCAGAGGCTGGGGAAAGGGAACTTTTGTGGTGAGGGAAGAGCTTACTGATTCCCAATACAAGGGAGCCTGGTTGTGTTCCTTCTCTCCTCACTCCCTTTCCCCGGGCGGGGCGGATAGCCGCGGCCCGGAGCGTCTTCCTCCAGCCCAGCGCAGGCTGTGGGGCTGGGGAAGAGTCCCGGGCTGGGTCTGGAAGGCGGCCTGGAGAGGGTCACCCGGCCGCACCAGCTAGTGAGCGATCGCGATCGGGGGAGCTGAGAATCCTGGCAATGAAGAGGCTCCTTAAAACACCCTGAGCTTGCAATCAGTTGCTGAATTAGATTTTTCTGCCAGGACCTCGTTTTTCCCTCTCTGAACTACCTCCATATGGTGCGGGACTGCGGAGCCGGGCCTGATTTTGGTGTTGAGTCGATGGCCCTTTTTCGTGGTGGAGTGATCGAAAACGTTGTCTCCACTCAAGTGCATTCTTCTACAATGTGTCAGAAGTGAAAAGGCATTTGGTTAAACTGTTTTATCCACTGTCTGTGTTTGACAACAGCCCACGCTGAAGTTTCTCTGGAGCACCTGAGGATATGTCTTTTGTAAGCGATTACTGTTCGGTGCAAAGCATGTTCACTTTGGTATTTCCTATCTGTTTGCTATAGTGCAGTGGCCTGGCTCCTGCGGGCTTGGGGAATATGGCTTTGTTTGCGTAATTGAGTGTATGCTGGGTGCTCATGGTGGCATGAGATTAAGAAAAAAAAAACTTACGCTGTTTTTGTTTTTTGGTATATATTGGGAAAATGGCATACATTGGATGTTTTAAAGATAGTTTGGGGCAATGCTTACGAACCTGACACAAGGATGGAAGATGTTGACTTTGTTAATAGCTGCAAATGTTTCTTACAGTTGGTTGAACTCTTATTGAAAATCAAACAAAATTAGTGGAAATTAGGCTCTTGTTTATCTTGTAAAGCTGACAGAAGGGAAAATCTGCTAGCTTTACATTTAGTATTTTTAAGGATCATTGATGAATGACAGTTTGTGTTCTGAATGTTCTGAATGCAAAGTCAGGTTGTCTTCATACTCTGGAAACTCACATGCTAAGTTCTTGAAGGAAAGAAAGAGGTGATAACTCCTACTCTGTAATGTGTCTTGTTTCTGAGTAGAGAGAAAACAATGGACGTTTCCTTTCACTTAGCTCATTTTACATGCTTAAAATCAGTGTTATTTTATCACATCCACAATGGGCATTGGTTGACTTGCCTGTTGGGAGATGCAGATGTAATTGTTTGATTGAGTCAATTTGTCCTATAGAAATTAAGTATTTACTGTGCTCAAGGCAGTGTCGTGGGTGCTGGACATTTAGGGATCCCACTGGTTGTTTTGTGGACAATGGGCTTTAGACATAAGACACCCCAGGGTCCCCCAGGTGAGGGAGGTCAGTGGGGTTGCAGTGCTGTGGGGAGAAGATGCCTCTGAGAGGCTATGGTGATCACCTGCATCTGTTCTTAACTGTTAGCTGTAGGTGTCTCTCAGGGACCTGGGAACACAGATGCAATAATGTGGGAAGGGCTCACTAGGAGAGAAGGGTATGTCAGTAAAGGGTGAATGAGGGTGAGGTGGGGAGGGGAAAGGGAAGAAGGAAGGGTGAGGGTGACACTGAAGTTGGGGTCGGGAAGAATGAGAGTCAGAGATGATTCAGGGATTTCCAAAATTATTTAAATGCAACTGACAGCTTTGCAGTGGACAAAGTTCAATCACTGGATCCCATGTTCCTTGACTATAAATGTTGCAAGGGCCCAAGTATCTTCTAAGTCCATTTTTACTTTTTCCTCTTAAATTGTAATGATTAAGATTAGTTTTTAGTCTTCACATTCCTCTCATCCTACGTAAGGTGATTATGAAGTCTACATATACACTGTTTTACCTTTTATTCTCCTATCTTTTCTGAGTACATCAAGATAGATGCTGTGTGTTGAATTGGGTAGCTGGATACTTGTAAAGTAGTGTTTAGGTTGCTAGGTGACACGTGGCAAGATGAACTCCCATCTGGTGGGGAAAAATGCAGTCAGATTATGTTTATTGTTTAAAACCCAATGAAGAAAAAAAAATAGTGAAAGCAAGAAAGATCCCAACTCACCAGGCTTTCTCTGCAGTAAGCATTTTGTGGTATGATGGGGCTAGTTTTTTGGTGTTATATTTGAGCTTTTTATTTTTATTTTTCCTCAGGTTAAGCAAATCAGTTTTTCTGGGCAGCACAGTGCCTTGTCTTTTTACCAGAAATGTCCTCAATAAGCAGATATTTGAAGGCTTACACTTAGCCATATGTAATCTATGTTTTTCCTCTAGTGAAAAAACATTTTTGTGGTCATGATCACTGAAGGGTGAAAAATGGCTGTCATAGAGTTCCTCTCTGAGCAGGGTGCTGTAGACTTTGAGAATATATTGCCTGGATGTTTCTTGTGAGTGCATCAAGCTGGAGACTGTCTCTTCTCAAACCCGTTGCCTGATGGTTAGGATACTTGGTGGACACGGGGTGCAGAGAACAATTATGAGTATGGGATTTATTGAAGGGCTGCTGTGTATAAAAGGTCATGCTTGTGGATTTGGGGGTGGGAAGCTGCCATTATGGTGTGGAGAGGGGCAAGTGACATTTAGTCCCTAGGGTTTGCATTGGCCTCGGTGGGTGGAAAGGCTGGCCTTGATGTAGGGCTACATTTTCTCACTGAGCAGCAGAGTGACCTGGAGCAGTGGGAGCATTCTGGTTCTGTAGGTCTGCAGTGGGGTCCTGGTGTGTGAATCTGGAGAGCGCTGGCTGCCATACTGCCTGCTGTTCTGGGAAGGAGCAGCAAAAGCATTCTAGGAAGGGGAACAATGAGTACAAAGGTGGATCAGATGCTCAGGGTCAGTTTGATTCCTTCCAAGGGTTTGCTCAGCTGGTTGATCAGGATAAAGCTGCTGATGACGATGAATGCCAGAGCAAGACTCTGGGACCTTATACAATTTCACAGTACAGGAAGGATTGTGCAGGGCAACACCGTCTATAGGGAAATGACTTGAGCACCTGTTTGGATGAGCTCTGCTTTGGGAAGAGCTGATTGGTTGCTGAGTGATTAAGATGTGGAGAATGGATCAGAGGACAAAAGGGAAGGCAGGAAGCTGCTGGGATTATTAGGTTCACTGCTTACCGTCCCCCACAACTCTTTTCTCAGTAAGAAGGAATTGGAGACCTAAGTTTACTGGCCATTTAACCCTGTTCAAGCCAGTCCTACAGAACCTCATTTACCTCATCTTTAAAGTAGACTTCTTCCTTACAGGGTTAATATGGCTATTGAAAAGGATGGTGAATATGAAATTCTTTAGTACTGGATCTGACCCAAACAGTAGCAATAACAAATTGCTATTATGTAATTCTGAAAAGACATGTTTGTGGAACAGAAGCAGGGGCTTAAAAACCAGAGGCCCAGATAATTGACCTTAAAGCCCATATTGGTGACTCTTGAATTCTCTGCTCCATATACATTCTGTTCTCCTGATTGAGTAGTTGTTCAGAAGCTTCTTGCATTTTTCCTCTTTGCTTGAAAAGGCATTGTGTAATTTAATTGAAGAATGGGTAGAATATTAATATTTGCCTGTAAAATAACTTCATTGTAGACAAAAACAGTTGAAAATGTGCTTTCTTTTTGGGGAGTGGGGAGTATTAATTGCTAAAATCATGCAAAGTCTTTTTTTTTTTTAAATGAACTATCTTGTGGTTGATGTAGACCTTTTCTGTGAATAAATGTATGACTGTATGTTGTCACATAGTTACCAGCTTATTGAAGACTTTTGGAAAAAGTTATACTGTGACAGCGATTGAGAGAAAATAGAGGCAAATGTAAAGATAGTGAAATGAAAGACATTTTAGTATTTTATTGACATTTTCTGTCTTCCCTTTCAAAGAGAAAAAAGAAAATGAACATGTCAAAGGCTGATTTCAGAATTCAGATCTCATTTTCTTGGTTTGCTTAAGTGCCTCATACCGCCTCCCCGCAGAGGCTTGGTCCCGCTGCCTCAGCACAGCCTGTCTTTTGTGGGGACCCCTCTGTTCTCCCAGACTCCACAGACCATACTCACTTTACCCACTTGGACTTGTATGTACTTTCCTGCCTTTGCTCTCTCTCATTTTATTTCTTCTGCCTGGAATGCTTCAGGCCTCTTCTCAGGTATCCATTGAACCTCAGTCCAAGCCAGCCCTCTGGAGGCTGACTGTGAGTCCAGGCTCTTTGAAGTTCTCCTTCCTTTGTGCTTCTCCAGCTGACTTCTGGAGGCTCCTACGTTGGCTACAGGGAGCTGTGTTTCTCTTTCCAGGTGAACTGGTTGATGGGATGACCCCCACCTCAGTCTTCCTTGTCTAGCCCATGTCTGTCACAAAATGATCACAAAAGTTGAGTAAATGCAAAGTTGAGAACAAACACATCACACATTTGCCACACAGAAAGGACACTTCTAGGAAGACTATAATCAGCACTTGGTAATTTTAAGGACTT